ATCAGGGGCAGAAGTTAAAATAGCCTATTTATAAAATTAGATGGACAATGCAATTATCTCATTATGATCCTCGATGATATGAACCTGAAGTTCAAGAGATAATGTTTAAGATCAGATGTTTACTTGACCGAATGTGTAAATATATAAAACCTGTTAAAACGTAGAATTTGATAACCTGAAGGACTATCTAACACTATTCTTTAGTTAAATGTCCATTTGATGAGTGGTAGAACTGTTGATTCCAACGATAAAAACCCTCGTGAATGACAAAGTTTAAATCTATGGATAGAAATTACGAGTGATTAGAATTCATAAGAATATTTCAATTTGAATAGTTGCCCACTATGATGAATCAACTTCCAGAAGAAGTATAAAAACACTTGGGAACTTTAATGATTGTTGAGATCTCATTATTAAAGAAAGATGGAATCAATCAGCAATAAAATGTCGACATGAAATTAGTTTATGCTGCAGCAGTTAGTAAAATGAAGATCATGAAATGAAAGTCTGTGTTGGATACGGACATTAAACTTATTGGCCTTAGTACATAAAAAAACGCAATACACACCTATATGTGTTGTACATACATTTTGGAATTGCTTGAAACAATAGAAGTTTTGAAAGGTAATACACCGGGTAAATTATTGGTGTTGGATTAACTACTCGATGAACTGATCATATTAGTTTGATGAGTTAGTTACTCTCAAAAGAGAGATTATTAATTGCTCGGTTAGTTAATCATCATTTAGCGAGAATTATCCCAACATCAGGGGGAGAAGTTAAAATAGCCTATTTATAAAATCAGATGGACAATGCAATTATCTCATTATGATCCTCGATGATATGAACTTGAAGTTCAAGAGATAATGTTTAAGATCAGATGTTTACTTGACCGAATGTGTAAATATATAAAAGGCTGTTAAAACGCAGAATTTGATAATGTGTCCCTGAATGACTATCTAAAACTATTCTTTAGTTAAATGTCCATTTGATGAGTGGTAGAACTGTTGATTCCAACGATAAAAATCATCGTGAATGACAAAGTTTAAATCTATGGATAGAAAATACGAGTGATTAGAATTCATAAGAATATTTCAATTTGAATAGTTTCCCACTATGATGAATCAACATCCAGAAGAAGTATAAAAACACTTAGGAACTTTAATGATTGTTGAGATCTTATTATTAAAGAAAGATGGAATCTATCAGCAATAAAATGTCGACATGAAATTTGTTTATACTGCAACAGTTAGTAAAATGAATGACAATGAGGATCATGAAATGAAAGTCTGTGTCGGATACGGACATTAAACTTATTGGCCATAATACATAAAAAGACGCAATACACACCTATATGTGTTGTACATACATTTTGGAATTGCTTGAAACAATAGAAGTTTTGAAAGGTAATACACTAGGTAAATGTTGTTGGGTGATTGTGCAAACGATTAATGAGTAACCAACTTATTGTACAAATTTTTTCGAAGTCCGGATGTTAATAATTTAGAGATAAATTCTCTTGTAGTGGATGAAAATATTCATTCTTCCGTTGTTTGCTAAATCTGGCAGCAAATGAAGAAATAAAATGCGTCTAGTGAATATAGTGATCACTTGAAACAATACTTGATATTTGCCATTTGAAAATGGCGTTTATATGAAATCCCTGAAGGATTCAATAAGGGACATGATTCCGATTCTCGAGAAATTAATATGAAGGACTTGTGCAAATTATAGTATCTTCATGTGTTTAGACAAATATTTAGGTGCATATTTTTGAACATTTTGGTTATTACTGTTTATGCACTTGATTTTATATGTTTTATCCGGATATGTTACATTTGTCTGTAAGGTGATTGTTTCTGTTTTCTATGAGATATTAATATGAACTTTTCATAAATTATATGTGTATTTGCTATTTGGTTAGCATTGAAATCTTAAAGTGTTTGAAAAGGCTAAATATTATAGAGTTTGAATAGCCTGAGTATCATTAAAACTCCGGAAGAGTTTATCATGATTATTATGACTTCAAAAAGGAAGTTCAAAAGATGTTTAAGTTGTAAAGGTTGCTACTTGCCTGAAGCAAGAATAATGAAAGACTTTGGGTAGAATCTCGGTCATAGTAGTTTGGCCTAAGTTTATATACATTTAACACCCGTTGAGTGCACTAGACTATGGTTTGATGTGCATAAAATCTTTTTTATAGCCTTATAATAAAATGTAAACCGATTGGTCATGAAGTACCATATTGTAATACTTATAAGTATCGGTTTATTACCCAAGGCATTAGAGGATTGTATATATGAATACCTTCTTGGTATGCTTATTATAGATCTCTGTTGTTATAAAACACTCAAGATTACACCAGTATATGAAGATGATCGTCTGCAGAGAAATCGAAGTGATCCATCCATTATTGACTTCAACAATGGTGAACCTGGTCAACATATGGACATGTGGCGAGAAGATTACAAGTGATGTACTCAACAGAGTATTATTCTGTTCACAATTAAGGAGATATGATTCTGTAATATTTCGCATTAATGATAGGTGATTCATTTCACATAGTTTGATCCCCTGCTTTTTGTATAAATAGAGAGCTCATTCATGCTTCAAAACACATATGAATACAAGTCTCTTATCTCTCTCTACTCTCTTGTCTCTTCTCTTTCATTCTTATCCTTAGTTCATATTAGTATTTTATCATTAATTTTATAACATTAACTTCTTTGTATAAGTTTTTGTTTATTTTTTTGGGATAGAAAATCTCATAAATGATCAATGTTTATAATTTCTTTGAGCCACACCCTTCCAGATTAAGCTTCACAGCTTTTTTTCTTTCTCTTTGGGTTCCCTTTTGTTTTGTGCGGTCTCATTCCTCTCTCTTTTCTTTCGTTTATGTTTTTCCAGGTTGAATTAATCTCATTCGCTTGCACTTTATTCTAGTGATATATTCTAAGGTTTTCCTTTAGTCGGTTAACTAGTAAATTATTTATTTTTAAGTTCATAGCTTAACTTCCACACCTTGTTTGGCAAATTGTTCAGGTAACTAATGCAACATGAGAAAGCTCCTGCTTGTCAATTTATAGTCTAACACTTTCTAGAATAAGATTCTCTTGTACTATATATATATAATACTCATTACCACAAAAATGAGTTGTTGAGACACTTTTTTGTATCCTAATAAGTGGTATAATGGGACATATATGACTATATTGCATGGGACACTGTTAAATAGTGTTTACTATAATCAAGTCATAATAAATCATAAGACATTTGAAAGTGTAGTATTAAATTGTTATTTAGTAATACAGTTTAAAGTGGTCCATTAAGTAAAATGAAATTAGAAATCTATTTTATTTATTTTTTTCCTTCTTTGCTTTCGATGTGTTGTTTATAATCTCTTAGTTTGGTCAATCTCTTCAAAGCTTTTCCAGAATGTTCTGGAAGTTAAGATGTGCTGGGATGCAAACCTTTGTGAAGACATTGACAAGCAATGCGATCACTTTGGAAGTTGAGTGTTCCGACACTATTGATAATGCTAAATGACTAGGTAAGAAAATAAGAATCAAATCACAAATGAGAATCCTATCCCAACCTTCCCTTTGATTCATTGTTGCAAACACCCAACAACCCTCCGAGGAAGCATAACTTCTCATTTGACAAAGCCCATGTAGACATGTTTGCTAGTTGCCCTTCGGTGCAACAATGATGTAGGACTATTTTTTCATATGCAACAATAACACGAATGAAATGATGATACAACACAATATGTTTTGTTTTGCTGTGAAATTAATGTTGGATTCCTTGTCATGGAAATAGTTGGTTTGTTGTCGCAAAACTATGTTGTCCATCTTATTCTTGCGGGCAGCATCCTTCTAAGCTAGCTTGACAAGCAATAGAAGCTACAATCACATACTCAGCTTTTGAAGTCAACAATGCTATCGTTGCTTATTTCTTAGAGCTCCAAGTAATATAGGCCTCGTTCCTAGAGTGAAAACTTTAGCTAAATACTTTTACTATATGTGAATCCATAAAATCTGAAATTTGAAGAAATGAGAAAGAAAATCATATGATAACCAGGTTCTCAGGACCTCCTTGCTCAATATTAATGGTGAAATACATGTTATTTGGACTCGCTAAAACAAATGTTAAGCAAATTAAGTTGGTTTAACTAATAAACATAAAAGGAGTTCAATAGCAATCATTTGTTAATAGAAGGATTAAAATAGCTAAATTAACCCTATTGAAGACTAAGTTACTATTATGAAAAATGTGTGTTAAATATTAGGGAGCGACTAAAGTCCAGTTTGACTGGATGGTTCAGTCATAAGATAATGACCATTAGATAAAGTAAATTAATCATATCCGTTAAATCAAAGTAGACACACCCAAGGCCGACTGGTCCATAAAGCAAGTAAAGTTAGGGTTTTAGGTCCCCAAAGTTTTAAGACCCCCGGTAGTGGGCTATTGCTTAGTATTATTGGGTTAAAAAAAAATTTTGGTCTTCAATTTTTAATGGCCGGCCCAAAAGAAAGTTAACTTTGTTCAGTTTTGTTTGTTGTTGTTTACGTGAAAAGAAAATCAAATCAAACCAGTTTATGCTGATTTTCCATATTGGCCCACTGATCACCTGAAATATAAAATTGACCCAAAACTAAACTAATTCGAACTAATTGACTCCTAATTCTAAGTAAAAATGAGTAGAAAATGCCTCTAAAAAGGGGTCTAGTTTTAGTGTTATCACAAATCGGGTAGCACTTTTTCTCGGTCAGCTACCTACTTGACTCGCATCAACCCATGATGCTGACGCCCGTGCACAAGTGTGCACCAGTTGCTCGGTATTTCCCGCAGTACCTGCCTGCTTCTGTGCACATTTCCTCGCACATAGTTCTTTTGAGAACCCCCACAACTCGTGTGCCAGCAAGCCGTTCCCCAGCCTGCTCACATGCTACAAAGCATAAGTATAAACCAACAATATTAAAGGGACTCGTACCATGGAATTACACAGCCTGCTCGCTTCGGTCTCTTTTCCATACAAACAACACTAACTCGTGCCAAACAACTTTCCCGGACCGTTGCACCAAAACTCGCTCACCAGCTAGCTTTTCTCGGCCACATGCTTGCTTTTCTCGGTCCAAGCACCCAGCTACCGGCATTCCTCGGCACCTGCTAGCTTTTCTCGGGACAAGCTGCCTGCTTAAGGAAACGGTGGTAACAAACTTCGCCCACTTGAGTGTTTGACGCCCTCGTCAAACTCCAAGCCGATGCTCCAACGCACCCGATGCTTCCACGCACCCGATGCTTCCACGCACCCGTTGCACAAAATCAGCAACCCGGCTACAATCCACCATGTAGCCTCGTGGGATTCCAGCCCACCGTGTGCCAGCAAGCCGTTCCCCAGCCTGCTCACATGCTACAAAGCATAAGTATAAACCAACAATATTAAAGGGACTCGTACCATGGAATTACACAGCCTGCTCGCTTCGGTCTCCTTTCCTTACAAACAACACTAACTCGTGCCAAACAACTTTCCCAGACCGTTGCACCAAAACTCGCTCACCAGCTAGCTTTTCTCGGCCACATGCTTGCTTTTCTCGGTCCAAGCACCCAGCTACCGGCATTCCTGGGCACCTGCTAGCTTTTCTCGGGACAACCTGCCTGCTTAAGGAAACGGTGGTAACAAACTTCGCCCACTTGAGTATTTGACGCCCTCGTTAAACTCCAAGCCAATGCTCCAACGCACCCGATGCTTCCACGCACCCGTTGCACAAAATCAGCAACCCGGCTACAATCCACCATGCAGCCTCATGGGATTCAAGCCCACCGTTCAACCGAACCTATGCATTTACCCACACTCGACGCCACCTGACATCCTTTGCATTTTCCCGAAACCGGCTACAACCCGTGCAGCCCGCTACCTGGACAAAAGTAACACCCGTGGGACTTAAACAAACCCACCACTTGAGCTGCCGATCGCTTAAGCACCGATTACCTTGACACCCGGCAATTCGTAGCAAAACCTACAACCCGGCTGCATCCTTGTAAGCAGCCCCATGGGATTTCACAACCCACCGTTCCTGCTCCAAGAGCTGATGCCCTCAAAGCACCCATTGCAATTTCCTGCAACCAGTTGCAAAACCAAGCAACCGCCACAAAAACAAAGTAGCAAACGCGGGACTTACCTCAGACACACTCGGGCATCCTCCACCCAAGTCCGTTGCATTTAACCCGTAACACGTTGTTCCCATCACTGAGCAAATCTTGGCTTGAATCAGCTAACATTTGTTCAAAATCTATTGCAGCCTTTGCCGCATTTGTCACCCGCTTTCGCGAGTAACGAGACCTAATCCAAGCCCCAAACATCTCTTGCCTTCAACCATTTTGTTGCCTCTATCCTCTAGAAGCAACGAGATCTCATTTCTCTCGCAGCGCCCGGGCCTCCGCAAGTGTCTCAAACTAGTTGCAAGATATTAAGTCGTGCAGGAGCTGCTTCCTCGGCTGTCTCCTCTTCTTCCTGCACTACACAATGGGAATCACCTTTCATTTTCAAAGGACAATCTCTTACATGGTGTCCCATTTTGCCGCATCCAAAGCAGTTGCCACTATTGGCGTTCCCGGCAGCACCACCCGCACTGCCTGTTGCTATTTTGTCAGCATTAACAGCAACCGACTTGCCTTTGTCCGCAGTAACCTATTCCTTCCCTGCATGCCTGCCGCCCGCATTTCCATCAAGCTGAAGGTCCACCAACCCGTCACCCAACCGCAATGCTTCGGCCAAGTCTTTTACCCCATGACGACGCAACTCCGCTCATGCCCAAGGTTTCAACCTGGCCACAAAGTTGGAAATCTTATCCTCCTCTAACATATATTTAACATCCAGCAGCAAGGATGTGAATTTCTCTTGTGCTTGCCAAGACACGTTTGTGGGCAGGAACTGGTCCCTCGGCTCCCGTCTCATCTCTTCCCATGTTCTAACTCTGACGACATGCTCGTCATCACATCTCGTTCGCCACCATTGCTTAGCATCACCCATCCAGTACATTGCTGCAACTGTTACTTGTCTAGCAGCCGGGATCTTCGCAGTGTTGAAGTACTGCTCTATATCCCACAAGAAGTTCTCCAACTCCTTATTGCTTCTCGAACCCGTGAACTTATCCTGCTCCGGTACCTTCACTTCCTGGCCCAAGTCCATAGCTCTGGACACTGCCCATTTCAACAACGCGACATCCATTTGCAGTGCTCCAATTGCACTTGAGTTTTCTTCAAACTCCAGCCTTGATGCCCTCTCATCATGACCCCGTTGCACGACGTTCAGCTCCCCCCGCAACCCTTCAACCGACTGGGCAGCAATTGCTTCCACCCATCTTTCAATTTTCTCGACCCTCTGGGCCAAATCAGCCACCATAGCATACACACTAGGGGGCTCTACAACATCCATCACCAAAAGACGTTCCAGTTGTTCAACCGTCGCTTCAAGTTGAGCCGCCCTCGTAGCTTGAGCCATTTTTCCTTGAGTTTTCGGTCTTTAATAGCAGCAAATTCCGTGCTTCCCTCAAGCACCCGCTACTCCAAGCAGCCGACCAACACCTCAGCACGAACCTAGGGCTCTAATGCCAAAGCTATCACCCAGGCTCCCCTTTACCAAGAAAACCCGGTGACCTCCAACGCTGCCTACCTAAAGCAAGCTCATAGCACAACCCGACAAACGGTTCACCGGAGTAAGCAACCAGCTCTACCCGGAAATCACGGTCTCGGTTAAGAGCCACACACACAGCGGAAGACTTGAAACACGGCTGGCACTATAGCCTGCTTAGAAATGGCTTTCAACACTTGGCCAAATTCCATGCACACCAAGACACGTGAGTTTGAGAGAATGAACAAGCAACACAAGGAATGTGAAACGGGCTCCCAAAGCCGTGGGCCAAACTAGACCTTGCGTCTTACATTACCCAAAACACTTAGGAAAATACAAGGGACAAACACTTGTCTACTCACAAGCTCACCAAGAGCACTCTAGCTATTCTCTCCCTAGAACACAAGAGCTACTCTCCACTAGATCTCTCAATCTAGAAACTCACTCACACTCTATGTGAATGAATACAAATGAGAGCCCAAGGCTCCTTATATATAACAAGGGAGACAATCCCCTTCCTCCTAGGCTTACAAAATGGATTACATGCATTGGCCAACTTTATTCCATGCCTTCAAGCTTGACCAACCAGCTCTCATCCTTTTTCTTCACATTCATTGGCCGTCTTTGCCTCCAAGGGATCCAAATGTACATAAATCAGCCAACTCTAGAAGTTTCAGGCTTTTCCTAAAGTCTTCAGCCCGTCCCGGTCCTTCACTCTGCATGGTTGAGCAAACTGGCGCCCGTTTCCCTCATGCCCGCTGTTTTCCCGCACAGCTGTCTGCTTGACCGGGATTTCCCCGCATCCGCTGCATCGCGTTCCTTAGGCTCCCGCATTTTCTCAGTTACCCCGGTTAGCAGCATGCTTACCCGTGTTCTTGCAAACCCGACAATAATTTTTCTCGGTCAGCTGCCTCATTGACCCACCTCAAATAGTGATGCCGACGCCCATGCACAAGCGTCCATCAGTTGCCCAGCATTTCTTGCAGCACTCGTGATGTCGTTTACCTGCCTTTTTTTTTTTTGTGATTCTAACCTACACTATACTCCCACTGATCTTTATTAAAAGATACTTTGATTTCTCCAAATTATCATTCATTGCATTTTTCCTTTTGGAAAAAATACTTTTAGAGTAAATGTTTTTAGAGTTTTATTTTCAATTGAAAAAATACGATAAGTAAAATATTAGAGGAATTAAAATATCTTATACTTTTTCTGTCTTATAATTATTGTCCCGTTTAGATTTTCATTCTTAATTAAAATTACGCTAAAATTAAAAATTTAAACTACACAATAATTTTGGGATGGAAGTGAAAAGTTTAGGAAGGAGTAATAAAGATTGGAGAGATCAGTTTTGGTTATAGTATCATAATTTTTGTTGTCTGTCTTCGTGTGTATTCCCCAAACGCGATACGTCAAGCGTGCACATGCGAACCCGTTGTACAACTCGACGAGTCTTGTACATATATATGTGCTAATTTAATATGGGATGCACGATTGCATGGTTCTGATTCATGAATCATGATCTTAGATTTGATTGCATACATTAAGCAGTCCAGAAAGAGAAATTAGTTCAAAACAATTCTTTTTTCTTCCCTATAGTAAATAAAATTTGATAAATATGGAGCTACTGCCACGCTAATGAAAATTAGTAGTTAGTACCTTACTGCTGTGTACGATTTAATTAAGGTTAGTTCACGTTTTCCTACCGGAAGAGGGATGCGAAATATTTATTTTTTTAAAAAAAATTCCTTATCGTTTTTACTATTTAATTCAATAAATTTAGTCCATCATTGATCCATTAGGCGGGATTCGACCGTCAAAGAATCCATATCTATGGGTCGTGATTTTGTCATTCCGTAGGTCTGATCTACTGATAATATAGTTCATCATTACGCGTCATTCGGGTGTGTGTGCAGGAATAATTTGCAGTCTGAATAAATGTATTCAATTTTCAGTTGAAGATCTTTTACGTATTCTTTAACCGACGTCATAAATATGAAGTTGATCGCTTGGTAAACGAAAATAACAACCAGAAGGCAATATACAACTGTTTGACCCCAAAATTAACTTTGGTCTTTTTGACAAGCCAATTTGATCGTCAACCGAAGAGGCAGAATCTCCCCAGTATTGGTGTTTAAATCAAAGAAGGATTGTTAAGCAATGAAGAAAGTCTAGGTTGATTTGGTTTGTTTCTATGATTTAAAGATAATATTTAGAGTTAATTCTATCTAAATGATTGATGTTGGCTGAGCTAATCAATAGCAGCCCATGCTTGGTTTGGAGACTTCCCACAGGATAATTGATCAATTACAATTCATCAATCGTGATATCTAGCAAATTAATGAATTTATCTTTATTTATGAAAAAAGATATATTAGACCAATTTCTAGGATCATGCGTTGGCCTAACTCTTATGTGTTTTAAGAAGCTAACTCGATTCTCAGCCGAGGCGGAAGCCGGCTGGGCTTCACATTAAAATGTCGAAATCAATTATCAGTTGATTTATGTGATTTTTAATTAGTAGCAAAAATTTAGGAATTGAAAAGATTGAGAGATATTTTCTGTTTTTTGTTTATTTTATTTTTATATATTTACACATTAAATGACCTAATATAAAGCTAAAGGTTTTGGGAAGGAAAATACTTCATAAGAAGTTGTCACGTGTCTTAAGTGACAACTACTTTCAAGAGATACAAAGGAATTCTCAGCCCGGCTTGACATTAAAATGTAGTAACCAATTATCGGTTGATTTTTGGGATCTTTAATCAGTAGCAAAATTTTAGGAATTGAAAAGATTAAGAGGTAATTTTTATCTTTTGTTTTATTTTATTTTTCTATATTTAAACATTAAATGACCTAATATAAAGCTAAATATTTTGAGAGGGAAAATACTTCATAATGTCTGCCACACATCTTAAATGGCAGCTGCTTTCAAGAGATACAAAGGGATATGTATTTGGTTTGTTCATGCAAGAAGTGGCAATTCTCACTTGAATTAGGGTTTCTTGCCTACTTTTCCTCAAAAAGATCAAGATGCAGCCGATTATTTCCTCTTCTATTTAAGCAGCCTGCACCAACAAAGTGGAACACCCATCTTATCGATCAAGGACGACACCTCTATTATTTGTCTTTTTTGTCTTTTTCATTCAAGTGTTTATCATGCTTTCTTAGATGTAGCCTAGCATAAATATATGTTAGTCTATTTTCGTCATAGAAATATGTAGTAGTTCATAGATTTTACTTTAGTGAATTTGGTCTCTCTCTCTAAAATAGAGTGCAATGGACAATTTCTATATCTCGTCGGTGCTAATATTTCTGTCTTCTGTGTCATAGCGTGCCATCAACGTCTAGTCGACGCTAATATCTCTGGGTCCAAGGAAGGTTTTCGAACTCATCCATAATCGTTTGATTATTTTATGTTCAAGAGACTTTCATCCTTTTTTTCAACGTAAATATGTGATTATTTCGGTACAACATAATGGCACGCTCAGTATGACGAGCTTTGGTTTGGATTAGGTTGTGGGATTCTGGTCATTTCCCCTCAAAAAAAAAAAAATAAATAAAAAATAAAAACCTTCTTAGTCCATCACCATTTCTTGGGCATATCTCTCCATAGTCCATATTTACTCCATTGAGCAAATTTTTCAAGGGATGAGAACAACATCGGAGGGCAAGCTACCTTTGATTGTCGTCTTTCTCTCTATGATCCATTTGGTTTCAAGCAGCAATCCCAGTTGCATCAACAGATGGAGTAAGGACTTTATGGCGTGAGATCCCTCAAGATTGGGGGGGGGGGCTGGCCGTTGTTGGTGTTCCAATAGCCACAAATGATTATTACAGCGGGCCAGTTGAGAGTGATAACATGATACAACGGACACAAGTGCTGCCGCAGCACAATAACTGTAGATTTTGTCGCAGCAATATCAGCAACTTCAGACGCCGTAGCAGCAATAACAAGTGCTGCCGGCACAATGTCCACAAGCACAACAACCTCAAGGTTTGTCGACACAGTGTCAAGAAGCTCAATCTTCGGCATAATAGCAATAGGTGTTGCAATAATTACAATTTCAATAGGCCGTGTCACAGCAATAAACTTTCCAGGTGTTGTAGTAGGCCGTATTTCAGTATGCTTATCAACGCCTTACATCTCATTCTATTCTATATGAGTGTTCGAGGAGCTTATATTTGACCTCAAAATAAATTTTGGTCTTTTTGACAGGCCAATTTGGTCGTCAACCAAAGAGGCAGAGTTTTCTTAATATTAGTGTTCAAATCAAAGAAAGATTGTTAAGTAACGAGAAATCCTAAACTGATTTGGTTTGTTTCCTATGATATAAAGATCTAATTGGATTGATGTTGGCTGAGCTAATCAAAAGCAACCCATGCTTGGTTTGGAGACTTCCCACGTGATAATTGATCAATTACAATTGATCATGTATTAGGCCACTTTCCAGGATAATGCTTCGGCCTAACTCCTACGTTTTAGGAAGCTAATACGTATTTAGTTTGCTTTTCATGCAATAAGTGGCAATTCCCACTTGAATTAGATTTCCAGCCTACTTTTCCTTCAGAAGATCAAGATGCAGCCGATTAATTTCTCTCCTATTTAAGCAGCCGTGCACCAACAAAGTGGAACACACATCTCATCATATCAATCAAGGCCGACGCTTTATTTTTCTTTTGTCTTTTTCATTCAAATTTTTTATCATGCTTTCTTGGATGTAGTTTAGCATAGATAGGTGTTTGCCTAATTTCTTTCATAGAAATACGTAGTAGTTCATGTATTCTATTTCAGCGAATTCGATATCTCTCTAAAATAGAGTGCAATCGACAACTTTAATGTCTAGTTGTCAGTAATATCTCTGTCTTCTGTGTCATAGCATGCCACCGACAATGTCTAGTCAGTGCTAATATCCATATCATATGCGTAAAAGTGTGTTATCGGCATCATCGACGTCTTGCGGACGCTAGAGTTTTTTTCAACTATTAAGAATTAAAGCCATTAGGCTCGTTTTCCCCTCATCTTTTTTATTCTTTTCCTTTTTATTTACAAATCAAAGTTAACTCTAAGTCTTCGATTCTTGGTCCAAAGCAGGTCTTGAAGTCATCCACAATCGTTTGATTCTTTTATGTTTAAAAGATTTTCATCTTTTCTTTTCAACAGAATTAATTAGGTGATTTTTTCGGCACAAACATAATGACATACCCAATGAGACAAGTTTTGGTTTCATTTTAGGTCGTGGGATTCTGGACATTTCCCCTTAAAAAAAAAAAAAAAAAAACAAATGCAAACATGAAGTTGGGAAGAAATGAAACTAAACATAAAATTCAATTATCTTAAAACTCAATAGTAAGTCCTAGAACTCAATCCAGATTATTATTTGTAGCAAAGGGAGAAGTTGTTCCTTTTTTTCAATTTTTTTTTTTTTTTTTAAAAAGTATATCATCACAAAGAAGATTAATTACATAGTTCGCCTCATCGATAGCTAGGAAAATGGTAACTCACATAATCAAAATTTTAGGCCTTCCGGTGTCCGAACTCATATCAGGCAGAAAAATTTTAGGCCTTACTCTTGGTAATTATTCTTATACTTTTCAAGAAATTATCAAATACAAATATTACTATGTAGAAATATCAGGCAGCTTTTTGGAATTCGATTATTTTCAATTCAATAAAATAGAATACTCCCTAGTCTTTAATATAAATCATTTTGATTTGTCTTAAATTTCATCTAATACGTATTTTTAAACGAAAAAAATCTTAAAAATATTTCCTAACAATCAAGAGAATATAACGAATGTGAAAATATTTTCTTAAAGCTGTTTTGTCAATTAAAAATGTGGATTAGGTGAAATGTATGACAAATCAAAATACCTTATGATAAGAGCCGAGGAGTAAAAAGGAGTAGTATAACAACTACAACTAGTAATACTAACTATATTTAATAAAGACGTGGTGCCCACGAACGATATATGTAAAATATTATTCAGATCATGTAAACCGTTAAAAAAATTGGAAAAAAAAAATTACTTGAAAACATGAATTCTTCAAACCCAATGCAAACGCGTACGCGAGGATGTCAATAGCAAGAAACTATTACATGAAACGAGACTATGATTGAAACCATAAGTACTTAATTATGTGAAGAGCAGGTGACACAGAATGATAGAGGTAGGTGAACGCCTTAGCAGTTTTGGGGTAGATAAGCCCTTTGAATTGCCTTAACAAACTGGAGTTGCCTCAAGAATCAACGGCGTCTTCCTTCTAACAACACTACTAGGAACTTCACTCATGTCCAAATCCTCTACTTTTGTTCCATAAGGCAAAGCAAAATTGAATTTAAGAATTAGGTTTGCGAGGGCAACTTCAACTGTTGCTAAGGTGAATGCCATTCCTGGACAACTTCTTCTTCCATAACCAAAGGGAAGCAACTCGAAATTTTTCCCTTTAAGATCAATGCTAGTATTTAAGAATCTTTCGGGTTGAAACTCATCAACATTTTTCCAGAGCGAAGAGCTCCTCCCGATTGCAAAAACATTGATGAACACTTGGGTGCCAGCGGGAATATCATACCCCATGACATTGATGTTGTCCTTTGATTCTCGAGGAAGTAGCATTGGAGCTGGAGGATGCATACGGCATGTCTCTTTAATCACTGCTCTTAAGTAAGGAAGTTTTTCTAAATCATCTTCGCTTATCCAATTCAAGTTGCCATTTGACAATCCTCTCACCTCATCTTTTAGTTTAGTCATGACGTTTTTGTTTCTCACTAATTCGGACATTACCCACTCTAATAATGTTGATACAGTATCTGTTCCAGCAGCATACATGTCCTGCAAATAACATCCAAGATTAGTTAGATAATGCATCTTTTAAATTTTCCTTCCTTCATTGAATTAATTTTTTTTTTTTAATCAATTGAATGATCCCAACAAAAATTGAACGCAACGTACTCCTAGTAATAATCATTTTCTATTCTAATCTAGTAACCATTCTACCCAACCCATCTCACCCCCATTGAGTTAACTATTTACTTATGAACAAACTATTATAAATTCTATTCGAAATACATAAAATAACTAGTCTTTACAATTTGTCAATTTATATCATTATTAATTCTTAAATTTTCTTCAATCTCATAATTAATAAAAATTTTTAATAAGTAAAGTTTTTTCCTTAATAAGTAAAAATTTTCATTTGTTATGTACAAAGGTACTTCGCATAAAAAAAATAAAAAATAAGGATAGAAAGTAAAAGTAATAGAGCTACTTTGTTTTTGAAGATGACAAAAAAATTTGGGAAAATTTTTAAAAAAGGCATCACAAGGATCAATATTATTATTAAGTGCATTATCAATTTAAATGATATTTTTCAAATTGAATAAATGCAATTAAAGTTTTCTGACACTTAAAAGACTATTTCAGCCTTTCTAATACCAAAATGATTTAACCTATTCTTCTTTAGTAAACAGCACATGGCCTCTTCTTTTTTCTACCAATTCAGAGTTTTAGATCCGATTATTGAATTCAACCATTTAGTCCGAGTGGTCCTTTGCTGGTATCTCCTTTTCAAATTAGATTTTATTGTTTTAGCTCTTGAATTTTAATTGTGAGAGAACATAAACCCCCCACTAGAACAATTTTCATTGTGAAGTGGCAGCTGCAAGAATTAAAAAATTTCTGGCTTTTATGCAACAGGATTCTTATAACTCTTATGATTCGTTGCAAAATAAAATAATCTATAATCATAAATTAGTTTAGTTAAAACCTTTTTTTTCTATTAATGTTATCAATTTTGTGTAATGCCATACAAAATTCAGCACATCATTTACGATGCCATAAAAAATTTCTGCAAACGAAGAATAAAGGGTAGAATCATATCAGGGAGGTGAGTCACTTATAGGGCGGAGACCTAACTAATTGAGGAGTCTAGTTTTATGGGAATAAAAGGAATAATAAAAGAGTAATTGTTACTAGAGAAGGGCCAAACTAGTCATTTGTAATATTAAAACTATTTTAACCTTTATACTAAATCATAAAAAAATGTTAATGCCCTTAAGAATAATATTCATCTCTCCAGTGTCCTTCTTGATATCCGAAAAAATTTGATAGAAGCACGATTATTAAAGGGTGTTCTCGATCAAATGCTACATTAGCAAGAGTATTTATGTATAAAAGGAAACTTTTAAATATACTACTCCCTCCATTCCAAAATAATTGTCATCCTACACTTTGTACATAATTTAAAAAACTCTTAAATAAGGTAAAAAAATTACTTCAATATCCTCAACCAACCCCACTAAAAAAATGTCCACCAATAGTATTAATTTTTTCGAGGGTAATTTTGAAAACTTTGGACAAAAAGTGCATTGAAATGTAAGAACGACACTTATTTTAAAATTTCTCTATTTTGCTAAAACGACATTTATTTTGGAACGGAAAGAGTATATGTTTACTTAATCTTTGGATGAATCTTCTAGCAAAAGTTTGAATATACCTCATCATGCATAATCTAATAGCCCCCCTTTAATCTTATTATCCAAAGTGACTAAATTATTATATGAATAGGGTTTTTGAGGAGGGAGATAATGATGCCTAGAAATATCACCTCAACCATTTCTCTCATCTGAACAAAACAAACTCTAACACTGTTGCTGGTCAAAGTACACAAGATATATGAAGAAATTAGTTAAAAATAAATGCAACCTAAAATCAGAATTTCCTTTTTTTTTTAAGAAAAAGAAAAAATCATGCTCAAATGACAAACATTACTGGCTTTTATTTTTAAATCACAGGCATCCAGTCCTTTTCTGGGCCTTCTAGGCTTCTATTTAACTGTCATAATTTGGAGTTTCAGTTGCATCTATTCCACCATTTTGAAATAAATTCAATAATGTAGTCTATAATACTGTCTTCATCCCGAAATTATTGTTCAGATTGATATTTAGTTTTAATGTTAGTTATACAATAAATATATATATATATATAGACTGAACAATATTTTGAGGGAGTATCTTTTTTACTAATTAAACTGTCCGTTATCTGCTACCCATGGGGATCGAACCTGGCTCTATGCCAAGAAGCTCCTCCCAAAAATGCTTTGGAAATATTAATGCCTAGGAGACTTCGAAACATTTGACATCTGACACTTTTTCCCTAGTAGTAGGGTTCCTATTAATTTTTTGCATATTGATAAATGGGAATATTACCAGGAATTCTTTTAGTATTTTTTTTTCTTTTAATTTTTGAACCAATTAAGTGAGTAACGCTTTTCCTATTTATGGTATTTAGTGAAAAAACTTAATTTGCGAGTTTTGGAAGATAGAAGAAGCCTCAAGTAGTGAAATGTGAATGCGTTGAAGTAAATATCTTTTGTTGGGTTATTAGTTTGGACATCATCTTACATTTCATTTTGCCACTTAAAAGTTGAAAGTGTTTCAAGTTGAAAACTAAATGAGAAATGAAAAATGTTGTTTGGATGGTATTTTGAGCAAAAAGTTGTTTGGATGTTGGTTTTGAAAAAAATATTTTGAATACATTTTGAAAATATCAAGTACGAGTCATCACTAAACAATTAAATACTGTCAATTATAGTCACTGTAAAAAAGAACTTTTCTAAAAACAATCACTCAACAACGGAATCCTGCCAAATTTGTCACTGAATTATTTGTAGTTCTAAAATGGTCATAACACTAACAAAAAGTGTTTCAAGTTGGAATTTAAAATGTAAATCAGAAAGTTGTTTGGATGATGTTTCTTTTCCATTGGGTTCTGTGTTTAAGAGGTAAAATGAGTTAAAATGTAAAATGAGTGCTTGTCCAAACAAAGCCAAAATTTTTTTTAAAATTCTCTTTGCTTTATTTTCAATATGCATTTATTTAATGCTTGCCGATGGCAATAATGAACAATGTCCCATTAAAAAATCATTGGATAATTCATTACGCAAATGTAATTTTAATCAACATCAAAACATAATAAATGATCTTAAATTATAGAAATTTTTACTCACTATATGCATACTTAAGACTTTGACTTCATCTCTTAGAGGACAATTGATAAATACAAAACTTTTTTGTTATTTAAAGAGCAAACTTTTTCCAATTACCAATAATACCCTTTATGAAATTTTAGCACATCTATTATAATTAATTTCATTTCTTTTATGCATTAAGTAAAAGCCAATCCTCTATTCCAAATAAACTCGCCTAATTTTTCTTCTCCAAATTTTTTTTAAAAAAAACTTGCATAACTTTTTATTCTTCTTGTTCCTGTAATCTTGAATCAAAACTTTCAGCACGTAATAAAAAAAATGATTGAAACATGTTATTTAAAAAATTTTGCGGAGAAAAAAAAATCATCAATATAAAATACAAAATTCGGCTCCAAGATAATAAAAAATTGACATGTGATATTTTATGTTGATGATTTATTTTTGTTTTAGTTCGTCATGAAAATTCTCAAAAGTTATCTTTCAATATGTTTTTTATTCGGTTTTAATTCAAGATCACAGGAAATAAGAAGGAAAAAATGTTGTGCAATTTTAAATTTTTTTTTAACTTTGGAAAAGGACAAAAAGTAACAAGTGTTTTTTTTCCTGATTTGGAGAATAAAAGGAAGTTATGCTATTTTTTTTTATAGTTATTCGGAATAAGAGATTGGCTTTCACCTGATCCATCAAAGAAAGGAGAAAAGAAAAGAAATTAATTATAATAGATGAGTTAAAAAATCTATATAAGGGTATTACTGGTAATTGAAAAGATTTTACTCTTTATATAACAAAAGAGCTATGTATTTATCAATTGCCCTCTTAGAGCATCCAGTGATAGAATCTAAATTGGTTTTTCTAGGACGTACATCTGATAAAAGTGCAACAATAAATTTTTTTTTTTTTTGGTACAATGAGAAAGGCATAAGTCTAAATACGAGAAATTAAAATCCGACATGGGTAGGAAACTCGTATAACATCATGTTCCAAACATTGTTAATTAATAATAACAATAATAAACCAGAGAGTAGAGACATAAAAATGTATTGGCACATTTGCTAAACACGCGAATTAAGTAATATGTAAACAAGATGATAGCTGTAAGTGATGATAATAAAAAATAAAATAAAATAAAAAAAAACCTTACCAAGATTATGGCTTTAAGAGAAGCACGTTGAAGAGCAAACCTAGTAGTGGCGTCTTTCTCCTGGAGATCCAGCAAAACATCAACGAAATTCTGCTGCATTATTTTCTCCTCGCCGTTGACAACTTTCTCCCGCTTCCGCATTCCTTCTTCAACAATATTTTCAAAATAAGCATCCAATTCTTTTGCAACCCTATTCACTTTTGCCTCCAGACCATTGATGTGATTAATCCATCCGAGCCATGGGATGTAGTCACCAACGTTAAATGTAGCTAATAACTCCATAAATTCCTCAAGCATTTTCTGTACTTTAGTCCCACGTTTCTCTTCTGAGTACCTTTTCCCGATGGCTACCCTAGAAATTAGGTTGAGAGTCAGTGTGGACAGCATCTCGCTCATATTCATAGGGGTGTGCGACAAGCAAGATTCGTTGATGTCATCTAACATCAAAGAGATCTCGTCTTCGCGCACGCTTCTGAATGACTGAACCCTCTTGTTACTGAGAAGTTGAAGAACACAAATGCTTCTTGCTTGCTTCCAGTATTCTCCGTAAGGCGCGAAACCTAGGTCCCTAAAATTGTACACAAGTCTACCCACAAAGTTTGCTTTAGGCCTACTTAAGAAATTGAGTTCGTTTGTTTTGAAGAACATTTCAGCTACCTCAGGAGACGAGATTATTAGTGTGGGCTTGCTGCCAAAGTGTAGAAGCATTAATGGGCCATGGCTTTCAGCTAATGATTTCAGGGAGCGGTGAGGGAGGAAACCAAGTTGGTGAAGGTTTCCAATTATGGGAAGTTTTGGTGGTGATGGTGGGAGGTTTTTCCGGCAATGTTTGAGCCAATATTGGAGGAGAAAGAAAGTGATCAAACTAAGGAATAGTGGAAGAAGAAGAGAAGAGAGGGACATTTCTCCACCGAGTCCAAGCATGGACATTTTCATTACTCTGCACAATTCTTGCTCATCCCCGTAGGAGATATAGAAATACAACCTATGATAACAAAAAACTAACTAAAATAAAAAAAAACATCTACATCAAACCTAGAAGTCGTGGAAATTTTTGACAAAAATCAAGGTGCAATTTGTCAAAATTTGAACAAAAGAGAAATTTTTATAAAATCAATAAAATTTAGGGTGTAATTCACGATTCTCAAAGAGTTTTGGGGGCAGAACGTATTATTTTGTGACAAAATTTTGTTAATTTTACATTTTGTCCTTCAAAGAAAAAAAAATAATTAAAACAACAAATTGAAATCTCATATTCTCAGAGTATATAAACTATCATTTTTCCTTAATTTTATTTTGTGATCGAGTTTCGATCATAAAGGTATGCTGGGACAAAGAATCACATCGCCATCGGAAATCATTTGTCACTTATTTATAAGTTTCTTGAACTATCTTACTCATTTTCAATTGGATTTGTGATGAGAGTCCAAGTGAATTCGATATGGTATCGTAACTCACGACCTGTGCGCCTATGAATGTACTTGTGACTGACCTATCATACGGTTTGTTGACTGATGTGGCATTATATCTGGAGTTATGTACTGACCAGCAATATATATGGTCAATTATATTATGATATGCAATCTCATTAGGCTAATAGGATCTTATGTTGCGATGTGCAATCCCATTACGGTAAATAAGATTTCTTAGGTTTTCGGCTAATGGAATCGTATTAACTTAGCATTTTTAAATTACATTAGTCTATCATTATCATTTTAATAATTTGTTTTCATTCAACTAAAGCACACTAGAACAATGTAACCGACGCTTTAATCATTTGTTTCCATAAGATTAATTCCATTCAAAGTTTTGGCTTGGTTTACATGCGACCAGCGCACGTGATGCTTTAATTCATTCGGTCCAGAACATTAATAGACCGCCTGGAGAATATGATGCTTTAATTCAAGCGATTAAATACCTTATGGAAAAAGAATGGACTGTGGACCTTCCATTTGCCTTTCGGGAGGCAAATTTTGCAACGGACTCGATAGCATTACTACTGTCTTCAAGTGACGGAGGTTATAAACATCATGTAGAGTCACCTGCTTGTGTTAAGACTTGGCTCAACCATGATGTAATTAGGGTTTTGTACCGCCAAGATGTTACTGTATGATATTAGGCGTTGCTTCTTTCCATTAAAAAAAAAAAAAAGCGTATATGAGCGGATGATGCTTGGTGCGACAATTCTGCAAATGACAACTGAAACCTGACATTTACTTGATCGTACGATGTTGATTTCTCCTTGGCAGAAGCGCACATGGGCTGATGCCTTTTGGTGCGACAATTCTGCATAAAACTATAACAACTAAAAACTGACATTTCCTTTATTGTGCGATATTGATTTCTCCATTGTGTATTGATGCTCACGTTTTACTACTTTATTGTTATCATCGATCATAGACCAATGCATTCGAAACAAGACCAATTTTTTACCTTGGTATGAGAGTGGCACTTTTTTCATTTGCACTGTTGCCTTTTCTGCTGCCTTGATTTCAGGTCAGAATATGAAATTAACGGCCAATTACTGCATTTCCACTAAGTAGCCACTGCACAGATGCAGTACTCATGTTGGCTTGATTGTTAAAGAAATCATCAAACGAATTATAAAAAGTTGACAACTTCATCGGAAAATACCCTATGGTTAGGAAAAATTGTCGATTGGGGAGGATTCCAATGGATTACTGATCAGTTTCAGTTGATCAATTCTTGTATGATGGGCTGATTACGGATGGAAAGAAAGTGCTTAAAGTAATCAAGCATATTGCGGGAAGCTAGCTAGACCCATTTTCATTGGAATAGCTTATCACTCTATTCACAGTTATTATCAAGTTTGGACTTTTAATTTTAGTTCAATTTGTACTAAAATAAATAGAGTGAAGCACAAAACAAATTATTAAAATCCAAAATTAATAGAACGGCATTGGATAAATTTTTGGTTTAGCACGGTGAACTATTTTGGAAATAAATTTAATTGATGAACTGTGATGAAATTACTCAATAGTTCAATAACCTGTTTTATGGTTTACTCAAATAAAAATCCAAATCAAAAATAATTTCTAGACATAAGATTTACGAGTTCATTAATTTATTATTTATTTACGTTAAGTAATTAGTAGATGCATGTGCTAGCAAAGACATTATTATTCTGAGTACGGGATGTGCATCCATCAAATGAATTTGAGTTATTGAACTATATATGAGACAGATTTGGAATATTGGATTTGTCCTTATTATAGCTGTATTTCATAAATGATTTTACCGAGGAAAAAATTATTCTTTGTCCATCCTAAAAAAGATAGTCTATTTTGTCGAACCAAAAAAAAGGAAAAAAAACTTATCTCTTGATCAATTAGTTTTGAGATTTTAACTGTTTTTTGTACAACTATCAAAACTCAATGTGGACTGTATTGTAGAATAAATGGATTATTATTGTTGCATACATGTGTTGAACAAAATCCAAATTACTTTCTCTGCTACAAAATGATTGCCTAAGTTTGATTTTTATTTTTACTACAAATTCTATTAAAAATAAAATCTAAACATAACAAATTTTTTGAGACACATGAAACATGTCACTAATACTATTCTTAGTAAGTATCATCACCTCCAGGGGCGGACCTACTTAAGTGCCGGGGGGTCAGCTGACTCTCCGATTGTCGGAAAAATATCTAGCAACTGAGGATAATTTCCTGTGGGAGGCATACGTAGTTTTGTCTTTTTCCCCTCTGACCCCCGCCGATAAAGTTGGGGGAATAGAGAACGAGGATTGTCAAGGTACTAGGGGCTTAATTTATTTATTTATTTTTATTTCGATTAGTGCTCGGAGTTGCATCGACTTGACTTCGACGGAGACGAAAAACAATAGGAAATATGAAATGTCAAAAGTTTTCAAAATTGTCAAGAAAGGTTCGTAATTGAGCGCTAATTCAAAAAATACCCTATATTAGTTAAAACCCTTCAAACTAGCCTCCTTTTTAGTTGTTTCACACACTGAACTTCTAACAAATCAGGAGTTGATCCCATCTCAAGGACAATTAGACTATGCGCATTTATTTTAGTTAATTTATGCATTTAATGTAGTAATATTTTACTTAAATAGTTTTACTCTTACGTAAGAATTAAATCTTAAATTACTTGAATAGTGTGAATTCTATGAAAAATTAGCCGATCTACTCAAACCTATACATTGTCAATGCTACTCTATTCTTTTTCAGTTAGCCAATATTTCTCTAAGTTATCCAACCGTTGGCCGATTTTGTCCAGTTTGCTAATTTCTGTTTAAATTAACGGAATTATGTTTGTTTTAATTATAAAAATATCCTAATAGTTTTGAAAATTATAAAAATGACCCCAAAAATGTTATATATGATAATGTTGATAAGTGTCAATTATAGCATGTTTTTAGACACATATTTTGCCTCTTTATATTAGTTTTAGGTCAATTAGGTTAAGATTTTATGTTTATAGACTAATTTAGTGACTTTTGGTGATCCATGGATTTAATTGCAAAGTTAGTAAAAAGTTGGTCAATACATGGGAAAATAGTGAAGTTCTGGGCGAAATTGAAAGTGGTCATTCGTTTGAAATGCAAGGGCAGAAGATGGCTGAAACCGGCGGGAAGGAAGGCAAATTTAGAGGCCAAGTTGAACCAAGTCTTTGAAGCTAAGGAAGAGGAGAAGGCGGTGAAGTGATGTTGCTAAAAAATGGAGGAGGTTGATGTACCTTAAAACTGAATTAGAGCAACCAAATCCTATCAAAAAGATGATTAGAGGTAAGGAAGGGGAAGTTGAAGAAGTATGGGTCTCCTCTCTTTTAATTAAACCCATCGGGTAAAGAGGAGACCAGCATGGCTAAGGAAGATTAATTAATTAATTCATGACTCATGAGTGCAGAGAGATCAGAGAAGTGATGGTTTTGGTGGCGGAGTGTACAGTGGTGGAGGCGGCCAAAATGGGGGAGGGGATGAAATTGGATGATGATGAAGCCCGTGAGTACATGTATGAGGTTTGGGGTTTATAATTTCTTTTTAAATTTTTTGAATTTTTGGACAAAGTATAAGGATGTTGCCTTTTTTTTTTTTTTTGTTTTAGGTTTTTATCAATGGTGGGTATTTTCTTTATTTTTTTTAAAAAATAAATAAACCATAAAAAAAAAATCCTCAATTACATCAGGGTTTTTTCGTCGGTTTTTATTAAAATTTAGATAGTGTCAGGTGTTGATATCATTTTCTGGTGAGGATTCTTCAACTGGTTAGATGAATCGAATGTCAAGGGGGTATTTGTAGTATGACAAAAACTCGGGGGGTGCTTCGTTAGAGGGCCAAAACTCGGGGGGTAAAATGTAGTTTGCCCAAAAAAAATTATTGGAAGTATTACTAGTATTTGCTTTTTTGCATATCGAGAGTAACTTATGGATAGTGATTCTACCAAAATAATTTTTAGCATCTAAAACAAATTTAATATAAAAAGTCACAATTGTCCATCTAAAAAATCAATACTTATCCTTCCAAGTTCTCCTCAAACTCACGCCCTCCTCCCAATCCCTCAAATCACGCCCTGCTCCGCGATTGCCTACACAATCGAATTTGAAGTTCATATCAGTGTTGTCAGACTCGGATCGGATCGGTAAGTCCGACTGGTTTAACCGTGAACTGCTCCACAGAGCGGTCCGATCAGAGGCAAGACTCGCTGCAGTAGTTAACCAGTCAAATTCGGTCAAGACCGGCGGTTGGACTGTGAATCGGTACGAACCGGTTGACCCGAGTTTTATTTTTTAAAATATTTTTTTTACTTTTTTCCCCAAAAAATGCATAATTTTTTCTCTGTTTTTCTTTCCATGTTTTTATGGTTTCCTGCCCAACGCCTCCCCCAAATCCATTCCCAGTTTTGTTTTTTAGAGTTAATTTTTTTGAATTTTTTTATTGTGAAATCTTTTTTGTATTCTTTTAGTTTTTTTTTTTTTTCTGTTTTTCTCTTGTTCAGTACTATGTACTATTAAGTAGTAATAGTAGTAAATCTGTAGTAGAATTCAACTATTCATTCCTCTGTGATTTTTTTTGAACTTGATTTTTCCTTATACTTAATATAAAGGCACAGTAGGCAAGAAAATTAAATGCCCAAGAAATATTTAGGGCCACTTTCAAATTGATCTCGTACGTCGGATGGCCTTGATATGACGTCAGCGACTTATTGGAGGCAAAAAGGAGAATGCATAAATTCAATTTCAAATTAATGAATGAGAAAAAATCTGAATTTTTGGTAAAAAAAATCCTCAGATATCAAACAACGTCGTTTTATATCCTTATTTTATTCCCAACAGTG